AAAAAAAAAAAAAAAAAAAAAAAAAAAAAAAAAAAAAAAAAAAAAAAAAAAAAAAGGTCGGAGGAAAAAAAGAAAGAAAGGAAAGAATAGAAAAAGAGAGGGACACTTTTTATATTATTTTACATATGTTGAAATGTGGAAGATTTTATAATAAATGAAGTATAAAGAATTGAAAATTAAATTTGAAATGAAAGGGATTCTATAACAATGACTGATAGTTCCAAGCGAAAAATGTCATATAGAGTTATTGGTGAAACGAAATTACTCAGAAAATTCAGCCAATTTGTTTCTACCAGATTCAGATAAATGAAACAATTATTTTTTTCCCTTTATAGTATTGTGATAATTGAGTTACAAGAAAAATTTATATTTATTGCATGTAAGTAAATTATAGAGATAAAATGGTCTTGATAACAATATTTTGAATAAAAATTAAGATTTAAAAACGACAAATAACTTTATTAAATTAATGACGATCACGAGTCGTCAACGAAATTACGGGAATTATTACAACCACGCAACTGAAACATATTTACGGTAAGAAATTTAAGAATCAAAAAGTTATAAAAAGATTTTTGTTTTCGATTAGGCGCGATTATGAATTAATGAGTCTGTATTAGTATAAAGATAAAAAGAATCCGTTACATTGATCGATAAAAAAAGAATAAATATTTTATGTTCGCTTTAAAAGATTAACTCTTTGATTTAATTTAAATATAATTCGATTAATAAAATAAATTTAAGTAATAAAAGACATTTTAAAAATTAGAAAATATGTAATGCCAAATACGGCATGACGATTATATATTAAGTCGATGTTGTAGACAAAATTTCAAGTTTCAGTATAAAAAATTTATAAGGAACCTTATAGTTTTTTACTCTTAAAAAAAAGCAAACCATTTTTTGCCCTTTAGTTTTTCTTTTTTGGTGCTAAAACTGTTGGGATATAAGTTTAATTAATATTTCAGATAAATATAAATTGCAATGAATGGAAAAATCACAGTTTAAATTAATTAATAAAATTACCAAGACATAAAAAATAATATTATTTTAATGCAATATGTTTTACTTTTTCGAATATAATTAGAGAATTAATAGTTTAAACAATGTAATATCTTAAAATGTTTAGAATACAATTACCAACGAAATATATATATATATATATATATTTATCAAAATCGAATTCCACATTTTTGTGCTTATAAAATGATTTTCTTAAAATATCCTTTATAATTTTTAAGGAAATTAATATATTTTTTGTCAATTAAGAAATGCAGCTTAAGTTTTTTAGTTAAAATGAAAAAAAAAATTTTTTTTTATATAATCTTGATTTTGCATAAATATACAATTAGAAAAGAGAATTAAAATTAACATAAGCAGTTAAGCGCTTAAAATAAAAATGTTTTTTACACCCAAAATATTTAAGTTAGGTATACATAATTTTAAATTTGATTTCATAAATTTCATTGTGATATTTGAAAATTTATTTTATAAATGTTTTTTATAAATGTTGCTTTTATTAATAAACAATGTAATTAATAAATGTTTCTTTTCTGAACGTGATAACTTGCTAGACATATATAAGTTAAATTTATTATACAATTTTAAATGAATTGTAAAATCTATAACTTTTAGCAAATAGCATAAATTGTCATATTATTTCGTATAAAATACCATAGCTATTTACACATTTTTTATTTTAAATTTGTATAAAAATAAACTAAAAATGTCATCGTCAAAATAATTTTTAACGACTGATTAATATGTTTTAAAATAAAAGAGTGTTAAAAATTAAAATTACATTAATTTTTGATCAAATGAATAATTAAAATGTCTTACCATGCTGCTGATTCCACCAATATTCCTAATGATGCTATTATCACTTCCGTGATTATCACATTTAATTTGAATATCCTCATGATTTTGAATTCACAGAGTCAAAATAACAGATGAACAGTTTTAAAAATGTTTTTGAGTCTTTCTTAGTCTTTTTAAATCACACGAAACAGAAACTTACTAGTCAACCACTCATTAATAGTCCAGTTTCGCTCAACTTTATAATCTTTTTTTACGATTTCAACCAGTTCTGTTATTATTATTTTAAAAAATCTATGAGCTCTGGAACGAGTTCATTTTCACAAAATCCATCTCACAATATGAAATTTCTTTTTTCTTATTCCGGAAAAGAAAGTCGCTGTTTGAAATTATAAATATATCTTCTCTGTTCTCTTTTCACTTAAAATTTTATAACTTTATTTAATCAATAAAATAATTATTATTCACTTTATTAATTCAAATTTTTAAATAATAAATACTTTAACTACAATTTTTTTTTTTTAAATGAATAAATAAAATATTTTTTAAAATTTAATATCAATTTTTTATGTAAACGAATAAGCTCTAATGTAGTGAAAAACAGTCGTGTTTTCAGTTTCGGTTTCTTTTCTCCGCTATAAATCCGAAATTAGCCGCCAACTAAACTCACACGTTGTTGACCACAAGACTAGGACCCCAGTAGTACCAAGAGTTGTAAGTGAGGTTTAAATGACAGATTCACACCGTTAAAACAGATTTTGTCAAGTTTCTTTACTAAGCCGACAAGATTTTACACCCCCTCCCCGGCCCCTTTTACCTTTTGCGGTATCTTCTATGGTTTTCTCAAGACAAGCCACACCTCAGCGGCAACGTCATCAACTATTACGCTGTTTGATTGGTCCGTTGAAGGAAAGGTAGGAATAATCACGCCTACATTTGCTTTAGGGTATTCTAACCTTATCCAAGCATGTGATGGGTATTTACAGGTACGCCGACATCACAATTGCTCATAGTTTACTTTTTTAATTAAAAGAAATCTTTCATGAGATTGCTTCTTGTTGGATCAGTCTTTGGCGATAATTTACTCATGCTCTTAGATCCTGAGAATAACATACTTGGCTCCTTTTTCCTTTTTTTTCTAACCGGAAATGTTATTACCATAGAAGTGTGGTAATTTCTTTTTCCACAATTCTTTACTCCATGCACATGTATTGGGAAAACGGGCTCATGTCTTGTCAGATCGCGAATTTCGGGATATTTTATTTTATCCTGACACTAGAAAACTGAAGATAAAATTGACCGAATTTTTTACATCACATTATTTATTGGATGTATTGCATATATTTATCAGCATACCATTTGCTCATCGTTTAGTCTCTCAACTTCTTGCTGGATTATGTCTTTAACATTAATTGAATTTATTCTGACTGATGCTCTTAGCTACAGAGAATAAAATACTTAACTCAATTTTTTTTTGCGAAACATTATTACATATATAGGGGAAACAGACACATTCCTAGTCAAATAGGGAATTAAACGATATTTAAATTTGTACTAACTCTTGAAAATGATATGCTAATTCGATTTAATCTTTTTCCACCACATTATTGCATTTAATAGAGAAACAGATATTTGCAGATATCCAGCATTCCCATGATTTACTCTTTTAATTTAAAGAAATGTTTGCTGAGTATTTTTTGTTGTATCGTGACAAATTGGATCTAAATTATCCTGAGTGATGCTCTTACCCTTTACAGAATGATATACTAAATTAGCTCAACTATTTTTTTTCCACATCATTTCCACATTATATTAGGAAAATTTGTTTGAAATTTATTTATTTTTTAGATAATTTAAGTTCAATTTTGATTTACATACATGAATATGCATCATCATCCGCATGGCATAATTAAGTTAATGTTGCGACATTTAAAAGCAGGTGTTTCCCATTTATGGTACATGCAAATAATGGTGCCCTGGAAAGATCACACGTGATTTACAATTTACAGGATACCTGGTATAGTATGCCTGGTATACAGGATACCAGGCCCAGCACTTACTCAACTAAATGATTCTGTAACAAATTATTAAGCTAAAAAATAAACTGTTTACTTTTATCATCTATATATTTTATATTATCATACAGTTTCTGTATTTTTATTCATGAAATTAATTAATACATCAAATCTATTATGATAATATGAGTTATATGTAACTATAAAATGGATTAATAATATTATTGCAAATTCTACATGAAAAACACAATTTTCCTTAACTTTTATGTTAAGCCAGTGAGCTTTATATAGAGTTTATTATAATGCAGATTGAACTGCATTATCGTCTAAAAAGATAGCACTGTAATTGGTGCAAAATAAATATCTCATACATTTATTTGAACAAATATGTGGATAAGATTTAGATTTTTACTGGAGTACTTTAAAAAAAATCCATCATGCGTAGATGACAAGATGACACATTAAATCGTTTGAATTGATTGAAGACACATTTACCGGATTTGGAAAGGGATAAAACTCTAGAATAGATAATACGACGAGTACACCATGTTAGAAAGTTTAGATAATAAATGGAGAACACAATTTTAAGCTTGAATTTGCTTGTACCCCCTCTAGGAATATCCCCTCTAGTTTAAATAACGTTCATTTTTAAAAGTAATTCGTTTGCGCCTGTTGTACTATTTCATGCTAAATTTCAGTTTTCATTTTGCATCTTAAAAACATATTTTAAGTATTCAAAGACAAATCTCTTCGGAATTGCATTTCAAAATCAAACGTAATTTTTGAGCTTTATTTTAATACGTTTTAATATTTTAGTAACTCGTAATGACGTTTAGAACATCACAAATGCCATCAGTCAATTATCAATTCTTTTAAAACTTGGTAAAGGTAAGTTACTTTAATTATATTCTATAAAAAATGGTAACCGATTTCGAAGAACAATGGTTTAATAGAATAATTATTTGCTTTAACAAATATCATTCATTTAAACCAACTGAAATTCGCTTTAGTAAATATTATTGAGTCACTAACTGAGATTATAGCAAATTTCAGGCCTGGATTATAGACTATTATATTATTTACCTTTACATCAAGTACAAAGTTTCTATGGGATATATGATTTATTATATTATCAACATTTAGTATTAAGTACAAGGTTTATATTATATTACGTTTTATATAACGGTATATTAAATCGAATGTAGTATTCTTATTTCTTCTACTGATTAAATTTTGCTAATTTGATGAATGTAAAAAGTGATTCTAAATTAATGGCGTGAAATTAATAGAAAATATAAGCAATTATTGTTTACTGAAAAACCAATATGAGGATTTTTATTTCCATTCTTTCTGACATCTCAATAAACAAAAATATCTAATATAAAATATTTCCGTATCATATTACGGTAAAAAGTACCGACAGTCAGTGTACCGGTACTTTTTTAACGTAAAATCCATTCTTACTGAAAACATTTACGGAAAAAAAATTCTATTATACTGTAATTTTTACTGCAATAGTTACAGTAAAGTCACTGTGAATCACTCTATTCAAATATGTATTACTGTATAAATTACGATGTAATAGTTATCGGTAAAGAAGGATTTTAGGGTACAATGGATTTTACGTTTGATGCCCCCAAAGTGCCAGAATTTCATACCATAATTTGATCCGGAATTATTTTACTGTGTAAAAAATTCTGCTGTCTGTTTGTCTTCCATGAGGAATTCTTCACAAGCGTGAATTTATTTTGTTCACCCCCTCCCCCCCCGCTTCTTTTTTTTTTCTTCTTTCCTTTTTTTTAAAAAAATCTTTGCGGCCAATAAAATACAAATAATCCAGTTCGATTATAAGAATGATTATTTTCAAAAGGTATACAAAAGCATTCAAAAAATCTCACTCTGATCTAGCGAGAAAAGTAGTGACGCATAATTCAGAAATAATTTTGTTGTTATAATAAAACGAAATCATTTTTATTATAGTAGGGTATACCATTATTTGTCCATCACCGTTCGTTTGTTGTTGATAATAAATATTGGTAGAAAAAGAAATTAAACCTAAATATTGTTAATTACAGATGGGCTTATTTCATTTTGAATACGTTTTTTTAATGTTATCATTAGAATTAAAAGTAATTTTTATATATAAATTATGGTAATATTTTTATTTTAGCAAAAATTATAATGCCATTTCTAAATAAGTTACTAAATACCATATGCTTTTTTTTATCTCCAAACTTCCATTATCATTATTACTGTTGTTATTATTATTGTTATTACCAATATTTATGAATATCAATTTAAGTCAAATATATGTATATAATCTACGGAATTCTTGATAATTGTTAAGATTTCAATAAATCAAAACACTATAAAATAATTTATGTCGTATAAAATGACTCTTTTCAGCTTATGTCGCATTTTTAGAACAGTCCTTAAAAAAGGACGCTAAGTATTAATGGATTACTGTATCTTCCAAAATAGATAACTTTAAAAATAAGAAAAGGGCTATTTGTCATTGTTTTAATCTTTCATTAACTGCTTATAAATCAAGATGTCATCCCATGTAAGTTGTCAGCGAGTCAATAGTAGATCTCTTTTCGGCTGCTGTTTGTGCATTTACGCCTAACAATGCAACAAAAGAGGCACTTAGAAAGGGAAATGCCGACTTTTCTTCTGGAATTCGGAATTACACGGATCTGCTTATGCAGAGTCATTAGTTATTCCCAAAAGTGACAATGAAACACGTTTGTGTAAGGTATAGGACTGTTGCAAGACTCACACTTAAGTCTCACCTCTATATTCTTTACTTGAGTTTCAGTTTAGTAAAAGAGTAAAAATAAGAATATTGAAAATAAAAATAATTTAAAAGTTAAAAATCAGAAGAAAAAAATTAAAATTAAATAAAAAGTTAAAAAGTTAGAATATAATTTTAAAGTTAAGCATTTGCTTGAAATTTTTTGGCAAATTTACTAAACACAAATTTTAGACTATTAGACTTCTTTAAAAATTGTGGAGAGCAGCAATATTTAATGTATTTAAATACTTCACATATTTAAATTTTTTTGCATCTTTTGATATTTAAATTTGATAATGCATAAAATTTTTATTCTTTCTATATTTTATTTCCATTAATAAATTAATTATAATCGGAGATAATGCTCATTCACGTTTAGAGATATAAACTATTTTTTACCAACTTTTAGCGTAAACATAACTCATTTTCTGCAAATAAAAGCAAATGAAAGTGTAAATATGTTTTAAAAATTGAAAATTTAAGCAAGCATGTGCAATAATTAATAACGTAAAATAATTCTTCTCTGTATTGATGTTATGATTATTTAAAAAC